TGGCGGCCGCCGAGTCGAGCACCAGCCTGCAGAGCGCGGGCGCGGGCGGCGGCGTCGGGGACCTGGAGCGCGCGGCGCGGCGGCAGTTCCAGCAGGACGAGACCCCCGCCTTCGTGTACGTGGTGGCCGTCTTCTCCGCGCTCGGCGGCTTCCTGTTTGGCTATGACACCGGGGTGGTGTCAGGGGCCATGCTGCTGCTCAAGCGGCAGCTCAGTCTGGACGCGCTGTGGCAGGAGCTGCTCGTGTCCAGCACGGTGGGGGCGGCTGCCGTCTCGGCATTGGCCGGAGGCGCCCTCAACGGCGTCTTCGGCCGCCGCGCTGCCATCCTCCTGGCCAGTGCCCTCTTCACCGCCGGCTCCGCGGTGCTGGCCGCGGCCAGCAACAAGGAGACGCTGCTCGCCGGCCGCCTGGTCGTGGGACTCGGCATCGGTGAGTTCGGGCTCCGCTAAGGGCGCACGGGACCCCAGTGTCACCGCCCTTGACCCTGGGTGTTGCGTGCCTCTTGCCCATCGGGGTCCTCGTCGGGTCTCGCCTGGTCAGAGAATCCTCCATTTCTCTGGCCTCTAGAGCCCATCTGTTGGTCCAGCCTCCAAGGCTCTCCCGGGAGGTGGGGGGTTTGAGGGCGGGGGGTCACTGTAGTCTCCCTCGAGCCCACGTGGAATCTTTGATCGTCCACGGACCAGTCAGTCCGAGTAGTTGTTGCCTCTCAGCACTTCCAGGAACCCAGCTGAGCCCCAGCTTTTTCCTTGATCCAGCCTAACCTGATGATGCTTCTTGAGCTTACGAGGGTCTCTATTTTCCTGCACTGTCCCACCTTCCCTCCCCACTGCTACCCCTTTCCTTTTCTAGGGCTCCCAGCCTGCAACCTAGAACGTCGTCAAGTTACAGTGAGATAATATTTAGAATTAAGTAATTCCGGACTCTGAAAGGTTTATTAGCTACCCCTGCCCTCTTTCCTTATCTAGCATTTGTCTTTAGATGGTATCTCCTTTTGCTTTTATGCTTTTTCTATTGCCTTTCAGCTTTCATTCTTTTCCCAAGTGAATTCCATTCTCCTCTGTTTTTCTAACTTTTTCATTTGAATCCTTTTTTATCCATTCTCCTCTTTGTTTTGCCTCTCCTGCTTTCCAGTTGGGAACCAAATTATCTATTAAAGGTCATATTCACTTCCTGAATTCATTTAGGAGGTACTCCCCCTGTGGATAAATGCCCAGCAAGATAAATGATTGGAATTTACTTCAAAAATGAAGGCATTAATGTTCTCCTGGCATTGATTTTTTTTCACCCTGGTTGCTGAGCAAGGGAGGTACAATTGGCAAGTTTTTGGCAGAGGGAAGCCATTTAGAATGTGCTCTGTATTATTAGAAAGCACTTTTGAGGGAAAGTGGGGGGTTGTGACTTAAATCTCACTAGAATTTTTCTAAGACACACCGCTGATGCCTTTTTAATGTTTCGTTTCATAATTCAGTTTTTTGTTTCCCTTAGGGTGCTGTTGAAGTATTTCTTCCCCATGGCTGGGGCTTGATGAAAGCGCTTTAAACCTGGGGCTGCTAGTGATCTGTGTATTCACCACTTGTTTCATGTTTGTGCTTTTCACCCTTTCTCTGTGGGTTCTGAAGGGAAGCAAAGGCCATATATTCAACTCCACATGCAGGAACCATGAGCCTAAAACCCAGCTCGCTGCACTTTATATTCAAAGTTTGTCAGTAGTGACCTTCCTTTTGCTTGTTTATTGTACTATTAGGAAAGGTAGGGCAAAGCTCTCAGTAACATATTAAGTTGGCACAAAAATGTCCAAAGTGACCAAAAAATCCAGCTGAAATGAAACCTCTTTGTATGGAAACTACTTGCGCCTTCAGGACCCTTCAACAGATAACCTGCTAAGTGACCACGATTCTTTTCTCAGCATTGTCTGCTTGGGACATCTGGACTTTTTTTGTTGCTTCTGACATAGAAATAACATCATTTTAGGTAGCAAGAATTGTTCTGTCAACCTGAATCTTTTCTGTAATTTTGAAATTGAATCATGATTTGCAGAACTCTCTAAATGAAGCTTCCTAGTGTTTTGCTATGGCAAGTATTGGTTAAAATTTTGGGTATTATGTTTAGTCTTTTTATCTGACCTGCAAATTGAGCCCTGTTCTGTGTAAGATCCCCTTCCAGATATTGTGGGCAGAATAGTGAGAAGAATGTATTATACTTTAGTAAATGTAGCAAGGTGGGACAAAAGCAATGTAGAACTTGCTAAGCTTTATAACAGAGATTCTCAGAGATAGCTGATGAATTCAGAGAGGGTACAGTTATCTCCAACAGAGGGAAGCCAGAAGCTCTTACCAATGGAAATGGTATGTTGACATGTCAGTATTTTAACAGAAATGAGGAAGGGACCTTCTAAGCAAGGGATAAAATGGGTAAAGGAAGGAAAGCGTAGCGCATACTTGGGGAATAGGTGGAAGCAGCAATAGAGGACAAAGCAGGAGATCAGATTGGAAGTACGGGTGTGCAAGAGCTGTGGAGGCCTCTCTGTCGTGCAGCCTCATTCTGTGGTCTCTGGGCTGATTGGTTCAACAGAGAAGCCCAGTTTAGGTATGGTCTTCATTCAGTTCTGGTGTAGCCCATCTCACTTCCAGAAACATACCTCTCAGAATAGAAGCCCTGAGGCAGTTTCGTAAAAGCCCTCTTCATTTACAAAATGAAGAATGTTTTAAGATCATAAACAGGCTTTGAAACAGGCCATGTTCAAAACAAAACAATAATGAAATAAAACCACTTCAAATTAGGATCTATGCAAAGCATGTAATTATACAAATAAAATCATTAAAACTTAAAAGATCACTAGCCTTCCAAAAGAAATCACAAGTGTGTGTGTTTTTTTGTTTGTTTGTTTTTTTTTTAAGCTACAAGGAAATGGGTTCCTAACATGAGCATTTTTTGAGGGACATTAAATCAGTTTGCTTGTTTGGTACACTAAATCTGGGTTAATTTTATGCTATTGTTTTTTAAGTAGTTAAATTTTATGTGTAGTCAGGGATTTGTTGTTTTGTCCTTATGATAGTTAGTAAATGTTGATGAATAACAAAATGTGGCTTTTGATGCCTTTTTCAGACAAGTTTGCTGTAAGAACTTCCTTCCTCCACATGTTTACCTGTGGTAAAATATAAGGCCCATGTGGGTCAGGGATTTCTGTTAATTTTGTTCACTGATACATTCCTGCCACATAGGAGATACTTGTTGAATAAATGAATGGTGAGCAGAAACGGAAAAAAATCCAAATTTCATTGCTGGTCGAGTAGCACTTTAAGTTAGTTTAAGTTCTTTTCAAAACACAAAAATAGTGCATTATCAAAATACTTGAAAGTCCATCCAAAGGTTTTGGTTGTAATAGTTTAATGAAATCATTATCTATTCAACACTTGCTAATTGAGCTTCCGTTATTGATCCTGTCAGATATGGGGCAGGCAGTAATTAGATAAAAACCCCACCTTGGAGGTGTTCATTCTGTAATGGAGTAGAAAGATACATAAACAAGCAATTAAAATAGACATTTCTCCATAGTGTCAGATGACACACAGAAGAGTGAGTGGTCAGTTGATTCTTTTAAGGGAAAAAATGGAACACAGGATTGAGGAAAGTTCTACAGTGGGATATTCAAAGTAGGGTTTGAAGAGTGAGTAGGTATTCAGCAGATGATGTAGATGAAGTCAGAAAAGTGCTTGTTTAGTGCTTTAGTATGTGCAAGACCTGGTGGTAGTACTTTACACATATTACCTCATTTAATCTTCCTGAGTCTGGGAAATGGGTCCCGTTTTGTTGGGTGTGGAAACAGTTAAATGGCAAGGTCACTGATTACAGAGGCAGGATTAAAAAAAAAAACCTTGAGTCTTTTGCTGTATTACCCTACTGGACATTTAAGGTGGAGTTAATAACTGGTGTAAAGGCACAGAAAAATCAAAGCAGTGTTTGAAGCATAGGTGAGTGAAGGGTGGTGATGGGGTGGTCATGAGACTAGAATGTTTTGGGGGGATTAGGCTGAATATAGTTTATTTGGTCCTGCCTATGCAGGGAGAGCTTTTAGAGGTTTTTAACAGTAAATAATATAATCAGATTAAACATCCCTTGAATCTGATATGTGAGGGTTTTTGTTTTTCCCATTATGCTTTTAAGTTCTTTTACTTTCTTCCTTACGGCTTCTCATGTCTTTGAAATTTTGGGTATTAGCAGTCCTTTGCTGAGATGGCTACTATAGGATGGGTAAAGCATAGCATGTGACCATTAATTACTGATATGGGAGGAGTCAGTGGACCCTTCAGCAGAAACCTTTGCAGAGGTGAAGATAGCAAGGAGTAGAGTGTAGTTATTAATGAGTATTAAATGAATTGCGTAGTAAAAGACCTTAAGTATCAGAAGTCAGGGAGATGTGTATTTCTTTTGATTTAAGGATTCCGTTTTCTTGACTGGTTATAACAAAATTACCGAGTGCCTGTTTTAAATCGGGCATTATTTTGGGTTTTCTTTTCTTTTTTCTTTTTGGTTCACCAGAGGCATCTTTGGTTCCTCTAGTTTATTTTTCTCTTTTACTTGATTCCTGACACTAGACTTTCTCCATTTCGCTGCCTGCTACCATAACCACCTGAACTTTTTAAACGTGAAAAGTCAAATTTGAAATAGGACATACATTTTCCATCTCAGAAATGATTGTATTCTAACAGCGTTAATCATTTTTTTTTTTTTTTTTTTTTGAGATGGAGCTTCACTCTTGTCGCCCAGGCTAGAGTACAGTGGTGAGATCTCGGCTCACTGCCACCTCCACCTCCCAGGTTCAAGTGATTCTCCTGCCTCAGTCTCCCGAGTAGCTAGGATTACAGGCACCTGCCCCCCATGCGCACCTAATTTTTGTATTTTTGGTAGAGACAGGGTTTCACCATGTTGGCCAAGCTGGTCTCGAACTCCTGATCTCAGGTGATCCTCCTGCCTTGGCCTTCCAAAGTGCTGGGATTACAGGCATGAGCCACCATGCCCGGCCCAGGGTTAATCTTATTTTGTATATTCTTTACACGCAATCCCATTTTCAGTTGTTTGTTTAGCAGTATTGTACCTATAATCAAGGTTTTTAAGTATGGTTAGTTACAACAGGATTGAAGAATATGAGTTTGCTCATTTGCTTTATTTATTTTCTATCACCATGTATTTCCCATGCATAACACACAAGAAATTGTCTAGAAAAGACAAAGTACAACAGTATACTACTATTAACACTGTTAGCATGTACACGGTCAGTGAAAAAGCATACCTATTAGCCCTTTCTCCCTGGTGTTGGCATTTATTCTACTGCTCATTGTAAGTGGTGATTTAGGGTCTGTGTGGGGAATATCAAGAAGTCTCTAAATTTGATAGTCCCCAGTATTCAAAACCTTTCCTGAGAATTGACATACTAATTTATACAGCACTGGATTCGTTGAATTAATCTTAGATTTACATCAGTTTCTCCTGTGTCAGCCTCTTTCAGGACTCCCTCTACTGGAACACAATTTGTAGCTGTAAATTGCAGCTTGTAATTAGTATATTATGGCCTGTTGAGTAATACTTTTAAAAATACCACATTTTTGTTTTTCAAACAGCATTTGAATTCTTCCTCAGTGCAAATGAAATGTAAAATCTTGTTTGATCAAAAAATGCAATGTTGAGATCAGTGTCAACAAAGAATGTCATTTAAGGTAAGCATAGTTGGGCGGAAGCTCTTAAGTTTCAAATAGTTAATCAGCTAATATACAGTTTTGCGGGGAGGTGCTCAAATTTGTTTTTTTTCCCCTACTCCCCAATTTCTGTCTGTTTGGTTGTTTTTGAAGGCAGGAATTCTGTACTGGATTTATGCTCCCTACTGGTATGAAACTGACACATGAAATAAAGCCTCCTTTGACTTCTTGTATTTCCTTGTTTTATACACATTAACAGCTTTGCTCCCTCCCCTTTTCTGTCTGGCAGTGTAGGGACTGACATTGCAGTTATAGTGAGGATTATGATCTAATTGTGTTTGCCTGGTAGTATAGCAACACCCTTTTCAAGTGAGTTGTCAGTAAGATAACGTAAGTCTGTTAACATGAGTTATGTGAAATTGTTCACGTGACTTCCTTGGAAAACATTGTGCTTTTTCATTCATCCCTTTTTCCCTCTTCTGGATTATAAACTTAAAGTAAGAATGCACTCAAAGTTAACTGACTTCACACTAACATCTTTGGTTTGAACACCTTTAATGATGTAGAAACTGCTAAGAGAACTGAACTAGCAAGCAGTCGTTGCTGTCTTTACCCAAAATCACCTGAGTGTAATTTTCTTTTTCTCATATTGAGCTTGGTTCCTTTGTCCATCTTTCTTGTCTACACCTTTTTCCATTTCTTTATCTTTCTTTTTCCTGTGACCCGTTAGAGTCCGTAAATAGTAGCAACACTTCTAATAGCAGCTATTGCTAATAGTATCAAAACTTCCGTTGTCAGGAGGAAAATTCACCAGAAAAGCCTCAAACATTTTGCACATATAAAATTTAATTTCTCTGGTTGTAGAAAGAGAAAAAAGTTTTACAGGGAATTCTAAACTCAAGTTAAGAGTACTACATGCTTTCTAGTTAGGCCTTTTATTAAAGGCCACTATTTGAAATGGTGCGGTCTGCAGCATATGTCCAAGGCCACATGGCAGGAGCATCATTTCACAGCAGGGCCAAGCACTGTGGCAGCTGGTCACCAGCGAGCAATGGCACCAGTGTTCTTCTGATTTTAGTGCTGCCCTGCCCTGCACTGGGAGGAGTCTAGGCAGTCCATCCTTGTGGCAGGGTGTGGATTGGCCATCAGCTTAGCTGCCAGCGCCCTGGAAATAGTACCTAAGACTTGTTGAATGCTTACACTTCTAAACATTTTGCACATGCTAATTCACATAGTCTTCATAATAACCCAGGGGGATAATACAGTTACCTTTATTTTAAGGTGAGGGTATTTAGGCAGAAAGAGATGAAGTAACTTTCTCATGATCACAAAGCTACTGGGTGGGGCCGGAGTTCAAACCCAAGAGGTCTGGCCTCCCAGTCTGTGCTCAACCAGTCTGTGACACTCACTCCTCCCTGAAACTGGCATAATTCTTCTTTACCATGATATATCATGTGGACATTACTTTTGTTTGTTTTAATATAGTTTCTTTTTATTGTGGTAAAGAACACATTACATTTATACTCTTACCCATTTTAAGGTGTGCAGTTTGGTATTGTTGGGTATATTCACATTGTTGTACAACAGATCTCTAGAACATTTTCATCTTGCAAAACTGAAACACTGTATCTATTAAACACAAATTCCCCAGCCTCTCTTCCCTATCCCTTGACAACCCACCTTTCTGCTTTCTGTTTCTATGATTTTTACTGTTTCGGATACTTCATATAAGTGGAATCATGCAGTATTTGTCCTTTGCTGGCTTACTTCACTTGAGGTTTATCCATGGTGTAGCATATGATAGAATTTCCTTCCTTTTAAAGGCTGCATAATATTCCATTGTGTATGTGTGTGTGTGTATATATATATATACACACTCATATATACATATATACACATATATGCATATATACACACATATACACATATATATGTGGCATTTAATCTATCCATTCATCTGTTGATGGACCTTTGAGTTATCTCTCCTTCTTGGCTGTTGTGGATATTGCTGCAATGAAGATGGGAGTGCAAACATCTCTTTGAGATCCTTCTTTGAATTTTTTTGGATATATACCCAGAATTGAGTTTGCTGGACCATGTAGTAGTTCTATTTCTAATTTTTTGAGGAACCTCTATCCCGTTTTCCATAGTGGCTGCACTCCTCCCAGTGTGGGGCAGGGCGGCGCTAAAATTGAGAAACTAGGGTTCCAGTTCTCAATATGCTCACCAACATTTGTTGTTTTCTTTTCTTTTGACAGTGGCCATCCTAATGGATATGAAGTGATACCTCATGGTGGTTTTGATTTACATTTCTCTTAGGATTAGTGATGTGAAACATTTTTTCATAGACTTGTTGGCCACTTTTACCTTTGTATATCTTCTTTGGAAAATTGTTTATTGTATTTTCAAGTCCCTTACCTATTTTTAATTGGTTTATTTCAATTGCTATTGAGTTGTAGAAGTTCCTTATGTATTCTGAATATTAACCCCCTATCAGATATATGACTTGCAAATGTTTTCTTTCATTCCATTGGTTGCCTTTTCACTGTTTATTGTGTCTTTTGGTGTATAGTTTTTAAATTTGATGTAGTCCTGTTTGTCTGTTTTTGCTCCACACACAAAACTAAAACTGTTGGAGTCATTTGTCATGCCCCTTGAGAGTAAGCTTTTTGGAAATTCTAATAAAATACTAGATTTTACTTCTAGGAGTATGTCATTTTGTTCCCTGGAATACATTCTTTGTGAACAAACATAATCTTCATTTCCTGTGATATAATGCTTTTTAGCAGCTTGGCAGAGGTGTTATAAAAAGTGGACTCTAAAAGCCCATTCTGTATGCCTATATGTGTATATGCTTGCATTCACTCAGTAATTAGGAACATTAGTATTTTCCTTAGTTTAAGTATGAATTAAAGGAAGTGCAGAGAAATTAGGGAAATTAGCACTGTTAGTAACAGTGCTGAGATTTAAACCCAGATTTCTGATCAAGAACCAGTGTACGCCCCACCTTTCTATTATATGATAAATCCAGTTTTTGATTGTGAAAGCTAAATATAGTCACCATAATGCTTCCCAAATTAGTATTAGTATTTAATGTGCTAGCAATGAAAATCCCAACACGATACTTTCACAAAAGAATTTCACAAAATGATTGTAATCAGATTGAGGGAACAGTAGTAAGACAGTAGTTATAGACAGAAGTAATTACTGCAAAGAAATAATATGTATATAATATATAGGGTATACAATATGTATTATTAAAACCAGAATATGATGAATGGAACAGAATCAGAATTCCAGTGATAGATCCAGCTGTTTGGAAGAATTTAGTATTGAGCAAATAAGAGGGAAAAGAAAGAAGCAACTGAGAAGAGGAAATAGGAATATGAAATGTAAATGAAATTTAGGTCTCATATTCTCTGTAGTGTGTTGGTTTAAGAGTCTCTAATTTTTTTAATTAATGGAGTGTTTTTTCTTATCTATATTGATGACATCTTTTATTATAATTTTTAAAACCTCAAAGCAGAGATTTTAAAAGCGAGGCAACAGATTGGAAAGACATTGTGGTAAATTTATTTACTTAAAAGAAAATATATTTATCCTCAAAGTATACTGAACAGATTGTTTACAACAAGAAAAATATAGTTAGTAAATAGACTCTTGGGAAAGTGTTAAGCCTGGTTACTAATTAGAGGTGAAAATTAAGAGAACACCATACTTACTAAATTAGCAAATTAAAAACTCAGGGCTGGCCGGGCGTGGTGACTCACGCCTGTAATCCCAGCACTTAGGGAGGCTGAGGTGGGTGGATCATGAGGTCAGGAGATCGAGACCATCCTGGCTAACAGGGTGAAACCACATCTCTACTAAAAAATGCAAAAAAATAAAATAAAATAAAATAAAATTAGCTGGGCGTGGTGGCGGGCTACTCAGGAGGCTGAGGCAGGCGAATGGCATGAACTTGGGAGGCGGAGTTTGCAGTGAGCTGAGGTCGTGCCACTGCACTCCAGCCTGGGTGACAGAGCGAGACTCCATCTCAAGAAAGAAACAAACAAAAAAACAAACAAAAAAAAGCTAAACAAAACTCAGGGCTAAGTTGTTCCCTAGGAAAATATGATTTTCTGATTGTAAAATAAATTGGAATAATTTTCTGTAGAGAATATTCTAGATAAAAAGCTGACATGTTTGACATGCTTCATTCATTTGTTCTTCATTCAACAAGTTTATTTTGAATTACTAATATGTATTATATACTGTGCTCTTGCAGTTCATTTGTAAAATTGCTAATAATTCTTTGATCTGGAAATTTCACTTGAGAGATTGTAATATAAGGAAATAAAGAAAAACTCATTTTGTTTAAACGTATTTATAGATGTGCAATATGTAATTTTAAAAAGCTAGGAGGAACCTCCAAGTGCCTAGTGATTGGGAAATGATTAGTTAGACCACATCACATTGACATTAAACACAAAAACGTCTAGACCTTAGATACATATATCCCGCAAATATTAAGCCCGAAGAATAGAACCTAGTTGTATGGACACATTGATTGCAACTACCTAAAAAATTACACTTGGACATAGAGTTTGGAAGAAGGAATAAAGGTGTATGTTTAGTTTACATATGGCACAGGGCATTTACATTTTTTTTTTTTAACTCTTCCCTTTAGATCATTGTTCTACTTCACATTCACAATTTTGTTTTAAAAGGCACAGAGACACACATAAGAAAACACAGCAGCAAGATACTTTTTTCCAAATTAGATTTTACTTCTTATTCTATGGAAGGACATTTTTAGGAAATAATGACAAAAATGTTGTAATCTAATCGTATAATAGCGGTGTGGGTGTATTTTTTCCCCCAGATTTTTAACTCATTGCATGAATTAGCAAGGTCTCATGATGTACGAAGTACATTTCTGGGATCTTATTATTGTATGTATCTCAGGAAAGTGTCTTGCTTACTTTATGGCTGAGAATGAGAGCTTCCATGGGCTCCCATCCCACACTCCCTTCTCTCTT